TTTACCTTCTCAATGTTTTCCATCATTACCCCTTTGACTTCAGAAACCTGAGCTTTCACCTTCGCAAGCTTGTTGATCTCCTCTGGATGATCCACACAGTACTGCATTTGCTCCTTCAATTTGGGCCTAAATTTTTGTCATTATTTTGATAGAATTCATTAATTGTAGAATTTATATATAGGGGGGGAAAAAGAAGCATGAAACATAGTTTCAGGGTGGAAAAGGGAACATCGCCCCCAACTCTCAATTCACACAATTAACAACAGCTGTAGCAGACTCTCCCACCCAAAAAGGAGAATGAATTACAACTACATCGAGATTACCCAAATTCTCTATTCAGGCTGTTAGCAACAGCTGTAGCAGCCTTTCCCCCACTATATTTCTTGGTGAAATCATCCTTAATTCGTTCAAGAAATGCCATAGGAATCTGTCTGCCAACAGATTCAACAGCAACAACACAATACGCTGTTATTCAAATACAGAAAAGGTCAGTCCAGCCTTAGAGATTAAAAAAAACCAAATTAACAGAAGACCGGGACAGGGAAGATAGAGTCCATGTATTGTATATTTGTTGAATAATGCACATCTTCAAGCACACAGATCTAGATGATGGTTTATAAAAACTCGGAATATTAATTTCTTCTTCTGCATAGTCCCAATCTTTGTCCTTTAATAAGATGGGAATAAAGGATGGAACCACTCAAAATCTATGTGACAGTTCCAGTCATTTAAGCTTCCAAAGACGGGGGAAGAAGGATGGAATTATTGAAATCAGATTAATTCAACATGAATCAGCATAGCCAACAGTGGCCTGGTTAAATCAAAGAAAAAACAGAACGCGATTCATGAAGCTTCCACAAACCAGACAATATAAAGAGGAAATGTGAAGTGAATCACTATAAATCAACACGTATAAACAGTGAGCAACGTAGAATAAAAGATGTATAGTCAAAGGGGTGACAAAAGTCAAGCAATCAAGATACCAAAAGGAAGGTGGAATAGATAATACTGAAATCTATTTTGAAGTCAACTGCACATTAGTAGGAAGAAAAACCAATTTTCTAATGTACTAATTTGACAATAGTTACAAGAAATTAACAAAATGTTTGCAGCATATTGAACTTAAGGTTGTTAATTCTCCTCTTTCATTTAAGAGATAATAAGACCCAAAAAGTGTAAAAGACATAAATATGTCAACAGTAAAGCATTGATTGTAATTACTAATTAGACAACATCGACGGTAAAAATAAAGTAAAGCCCATCCCAGCAAAAAAAAAACTCATTAACTTTCTGCAGTTACATACTTTATGAAATTAATTATGGAAACATACAAAACTATTAATTTCAAAAACTACATAGTTAATAAACAGCGACATGCTATTTCTCAATTTCTGCAAGATCATACACCTGCACAGAACACTTCTAATTAATATATTGCATCCAGTTTTTTTTTCCACTTTCATTTTTTCCTACACTTTCAAAATAATTGCAAGACAGAATCCATGATTTAATGATGCTACAATAAAGTAACATAGAGTCATAGAGAAATAGATACTTACGCCCCAAAGAAAGCCAGCATTCCAGAATTGAGAAGGCCTCCATACTACAAACGACACAAACCGGGTAATGAATTGGTGCCACGGACCCACACCAAGGGACACAATCATCTGATGAGGAAAAAAAACTATTTTATATCAGAAAATCATCCGTAGCACAAACAATGAAGCCAACTCAAATATAATGGCTATATTTTGTTTTAGTTATCATCTACATTAGTTGGCCAAAGCCTATTCAACATTCATAATCAAGTAAAACACGCAACCGTCAATAAAGATAATAAACTACCCGAGGTAAGACTATAGAAAGATTTAATACTCCAATGGCCAGCCCTAATCAGTGGTGCAAAAGCTTTAAATTAAATAAATAGCTTCATCAAATAGCAGAGATAGAACAAAGAAGACTCTAGAAGTACCTTGGCCGCATCTTGAATCAGCAGTCTCGACAGTAACAGAGAAAGGCATGCTATATCCAAAGGCTTGAAGCACATATAAACCTCCAAAGTCTAATCAGTACATCCATACTACCAAACATCATAAACAAGAGGCATTTCTGTCCAAGAGTAGTCCAAAGAAACTATTGCCCGACACCAATAAACAAATTCTATCAGTGAACTTGTCAGCCTATTTTTATGCGTGCGTTGACATTAAGGGGGTGAGGTGGGGACTCTGCTAATATACAATTTTAAGTGACATAAAGATACTATAGAAAAAGACCTACAAATTAAAAATAGTAAAATAAAATACACATTTGTATGCAGTTCCTTGATTTCTTATAACCTAGTACTTTTGAAGAAAACATTAGTGAATTCGTTAGTACATCAAATGTAGGTATATTCACAACGTGAAAAGAAACTGAACTTACATTTACAGGCCAAGGATAAGCGAAGTGCTTGATAAGCTAAAATCTCTCCATATCAAAGAAACACATTTATTTTCTGATAACTTCGAGCCTCTACAAAAGAGAACAAACACAAAAGGTTTAAAAAAAAGAGTGTAATCTCTGCTGAAAAATCCAAATGCCTACAGTAGCAACAAAGAAAAAGTCAATCACCATATTCCAAAGCAGTTCCAGTGCTAAAAAGGAAGAGTAAGAAGAATCCATTCTAATTTTTTCCCATCATCCACATAAATTGCTAAAGTTATGCATTGGTTCAAGAATTGAATGCTAAATTTCATCTTTTAAGATAAATGAACTTCGATAGAGATAA